CTAAATTCCTGAATTCCTAAATTCCTAAATTCCTAAATTCCTAAATTCCTAAATTCCTAAATTCCTAAATTCCTAAATTCCTAAATTCCTAAATTCCTAAATTCCTAAATTCCTAAATTCCTAAATTCCTAAATTCCTAAATTCCTAAATTCCTAAATTCCTAAATTCCTAAATTCCTAAATTCCTAAATTCCTAAATTCCTAAATTCCTAAATTCCTAAATTCCTAAATTCCTAAATTCCTAAATTCCTAAATTCCTAAATTCCTAAATTCCTAAATTCCTAAATTCCTAAATTCCTAAATTCCTAAATTCCTAAATTCCTAAATTCCTAAATTCCTAAATTCCTAAATTCCTAAATTCCTAAATTCCTAAATTCCTAAATTTCTAAATTCCTAAATTCCTAAATTCTGAAATTCTGAAATCCTGAAATACCCAAATCCCTAAACTCTCACAACTCCAAATCCCTAAATTCCCAAATTGCAGAATTATCAAATTTCGAAAATCTCAAATCCCATCCCCACTCCTCTAAATTCTGAAATTTTCAAAAGTTCCTCCAAGAAAAATCATCTACGCTTCTTGCTCTCTTTTTTTCCATCAACCTACTGAAACTCCTGAGTCATCCTCCTATGCGCCATCTCGTAATATTAGAATACTTGATACTCTTTTCTAACATAAAATCCTTAAAACTTTCAACTCCTTTCACTAAATTCATTCAATGAATTGAATTTCCTATAAAAAATATTTCCCATCCGATATTCCAATATTTCCGTAATTTTTATACGCACAGCATGTTTATCCTTATTTAGAAGATCGTATTCGCTTGCTCCTGTGCGAATGCGTTAGCGACTTATCGGTAGCTGGAATTGGATATCACTTTTGAGGTCAAAGTTCAGACTACGATTCAAAGCGGTAGTAGGTGTTCTTTTTACACTTACACATATGTGTGTGCATATATGAAAGAACATAAGAGCGAGAAATTGCTGTACTACACGTATTTTCATCAGTCAGTTTGACGATCAAATTCAGCACAGTCGATGTTGATCAATATTCCTCGGTGACTGGATTGTAAACAGTTTTACTTGCATACGTAAACATATTTGTTTGCTGGTAATTTCATTGTTTATTTGTTTAGTTGTTAATTGTAGTTTATTCGTAATTTAGTTTAGAATTATTTTATATAAATAAAGTAACTATATAGGAATTTATCTGAATTTCTGAATTGTATATCTCAGTAATTATTAATAATTGTTATTAATAATTGTTATATATGACGTCGCATATTTATTGTAGTTGTTATATTGTTACAGAGAGGAAATTTTGTAGAAATGGCTATATATTGTGTTAGCTAAAATATTTGAAAATTTGTGAATTTGGAAATTTGAAACTTTGGAGGTTTGAAAATTTAATTACTGTTTAATATATAATTTTAATTATAATTAATTAATATAATTTCTACCTAAGCCTATAGATTTGAAGATTTTTTTCTAAATTTTTTAATGTCCACAACTATTAATTTTTTATTTTCTAAGGTACTAAATTTTTAAATTGCAGAATTTATAAGTTTCTAAATTTCTATATTTTTTAATTTTTTAATTTCTGAATCTCCAAATGGATTTCTGAATTTCAAAATTAGCACATTTCTGAAATTTCTGAAATTTCTGAATTTGCAAATTTCTGAATTCTTAAAAAATTTTTAAATTTCTGTATCTCTAAATTTTTTAATTCCTGCATCTCTAAATTTCTTGATTTCTAAATTTCTTCTAAAATACACCATTTATGAATTAAAAAATTATTCAAACAATTTCCATATTTCTGAGCGAACAAGACTTCTGAGACCAACAAACATTGCGTTGTTATTTCTTGCTGATTATTCGAGTTATAATGAATCTTGAATTATCTACAAATACGGTTACGTCTTAAATAACAACGAATATGTGCAGTTATTCTTAAAATAATTTACATAACTGTATCTCCGCAATTAAGCATTAAAATGAGTCTTTTAAGAGTCGATTATAATTTCGTAACATATCGATAATTTTAAACTTTGTACAAGAATTTGATTTCAAATTTTTTTTAGAAACAAACTAACGGCAGAATCATGCCAGCAATAGAGAGCTCTATACCTGGCTTCGGACCATTTCCAGCGAGAGAAAAAAAATTTAAAACACAGTACTCTTATATCGAAGGAAGAAGAGAGATAGATGGCGCGGAGGATTTATGGAGAATTCGAGATAATTTGTACGATTTGGAAGGTTTTGCGAAAAATCATCCAGGAGGAGAGGAATGGATCCGTCTAACGAAAGGCACAGATATTACAGAAATTTTTGAGGTAATTAAACCGTATATCTTATCAATTATTTTTTTGGCTGCTACAGAGTAATTAATCACTTATCACAGAATTATTAATCGGTTATTTATCATTAATTAATCAGTTATTTATTACTGAATAATTAATCGCTTATTTATTACGACATTGGTTAAAAAATTTTATTGTAGTATCAAGTTCTAGGTTTTCATCATTTTATGATTGTACAATTTCTCAATTCTGTAAGTTTACAATTTTACAATTCCATAATTCCACAATTCCACAATTTTAAAATTCTAGAACACTACAATTCCACATTTTCACAATTTCACAATATCATCATTTCATAATTCTGAAACATCACAATTCCAGATTTCATTAAATTTCACCATTTCCCAGTTTCACAATTTCACAATTCCATAAATCTACAATTCCACGATTCCACAATTCTACAACTTCACAGATCCACAAATCCATAATATTGCAATTTCACCATTTCATAATTCTGTAACATCACAATTCCAGATTTCCACAATTTCACCATTTCGCAGTTTCACAATTCCACAATTCCATAAATCGACAATCCCACGATTCCACAATTCTACAACTTCACAATTTCACAGATCCACAAATCCATAATATTGCAATTTCACCATTTCATAATTCTGTAACATCACAATTCCAGATTTTCACAATTTCACCATTTCGCAATTTCACAATTCCACAATTCCATAAATCGACAATCCCACGATTCCACAATTCTACAATTTCACAAATCCACAAATCCACAATTATACAAATTCACAAATTCACAAATTCACAAATTCACAAATTTACAATTTCACGATTCCACGATTCCACATTTCCAAAATTCCACAATTCCAAAATTCCACAATTTCATAATACCACAAATCCATAATTTTACAATTTCACAACTTCACAATTCCACGAGTCTACAATTCCACAATTCCACAATACCACAATTCCACAATTCCACAATTCCACAATACCACAATTCTACAATCTAACAGCTTCATAATTCCACATCTATACATTGTACAATTCTATATCTGCACAACTGCATAAATTTGTTATTCTACAGTTCAGCATCCTTACAATTCTACAATTCTACAATTATGCGTTTCTACAATACCACAGTACTACAATTCCACAATTCTGCATCCCCACAATTCTACATTCTGCGTCTCTACAATTCTGCAACTCACTATTTTCACAATTCTACAATTCGACTTCTCTACAACTTTACAATTCCATAAATTTACAATTCTATAAATCTGCAACTCTACAATTACACAACCCCGCAAATTTACAATTCTACAGGTATACAATTCCACACTTATACAATTCTGTAATTCTGCAATCCTACAACTGTTCTCAGTCTATTTAACTAAAACAAATTTATTTTTACAGTCGCATCATCTGACAGAAAGGGCGTACAAGCTTCTTCCAAAATTCTTCGTAAAGGAGGCAGCTGCACCACGATCGATACCATTAACGTTCGCACCTAATGGCTTCTATAACACTTTCAAAAAGCGCGCCCTAGAAGCGTTGAAGAACGTCGATTTTCATCGGCCATCGAGAAAAACGAACTTAATCGCAGATCTGCTCGCCATGACCACAATTACGCTCAGTATTGCAGCGGTCTCGTTGCAATCCTATCTTATCATCGTTTTTGCTGGTTAGTATGTCACAATATCTCTGATATTTTTTAACGGAATGTTACAGTTATAGATTTCCGTTACACTGCCGATTTTTGAACTTACAAAGAGACTTCTCTTAGAGAAAACACGTTTATACATATACTACGTGTTTGAACTGGTACATGTCATTTTAATGCGTATTATTTTCTCATTTTCATGTTTTATCTAACATTGCTTTGCTACAATATATATTAGTTTATTTTTTATCATCACGCATTTTTTTATTCTGAGTTGTATTAGCTCGCTTTGTATAGTTATATGTTGTTTTATAAAACGTTCTATTTATCGTATTATATTTTCATGTGTAGTATCCTTGTGAGTAGTACTACGCATAGTAGTACTGCATAAGGTGGTACCTGCGCAGTACCGTCTTGCGCAGTGTTATTCTGCGCAGTACCGCCATGCGCAGTACTATCCTGCGCAGTAATACCGAGTGCAATAACATCGTGTACATTATTATTATCAAACGTAGTACCGTCTTGCGTAGGATTGACTAAGCGTAGTACCACCATGTGTAGTATTTACCACGTGTAGAACTACCATACGTAATATTTAACACGCGTAGTATTTGCCATGCGTGGTATCACCATGCATGGTATTTACTCGGCGTAGTACTGCCATTTGCAGTATTTATTTTGTGTAGTACCACCATGTGTAGTATTTACCGCGTGTATTATTACCATGCGTAGTATTTGCTATGTGCAGTAACAGCATGGGGTAAACTTGCATGAGTAGTACCTACCATGCGCAGTACCACCTTGCGTAGTACCACCTTGCGTAGTACCACTATGCGCAGTATCGCCTTGCGCAGTACCGTCATGCGTAGTACCACCTTGCATAGTGCCTACTATGTGCAGTACCACTTTGCGTAGTATCTACCATGCGTAGTACCACTATGCGCAGTATCACCTTGCGCAGTACCGTCATGCGTAGTATCACCTTGTGTAGTACCTACCATGCGCAGTACCACCTTGCGTAGTACTACCTTGTGCAGTATCTACTGCGCGTAGTACCACCTTGCGTAGTACCTACTATGCACAGTAAGTACCACCTTGCGTAGTACCACCTTGCGTAGTACCTACCATGCGCAGTACCGCCATGCGCAGTAATACCGAGTGCAATAATATCGTGTACATTATTATTATCAAACGTAGTATCGTCTTGCGTAGTATTGACTAAGCGTAGTACTACCATGTGTAGTATTTACCACGTGTAGAACTACCATGCGTAATATTTAACAAGCGTAGTATTTGCCATGCATGGTATTTACTCGGCGTAGTACTGCCATTTGTAGTATTTATTTTGTGTAGTACCACCATGTGTAATATTTGCGCGTGTATTATTACCATGCGTAGTATTTGCTATGTGCAGTAACAGCATAGGGTAAACTTGCATGCGTAGTACCTACCATGCGCAGTACCACCTTGCGTAGTACTACCTTGTGCAGTATCTACTGCGCGTAGTATCACCTTGAGTAATACCTACCATGCGCAGTATCCGCCATGCGGAGTACCAACTTGCGTAGTACCTACCATACGCTATACCACCTTGCGTAGTACCTACCTTGCGTAGTACCACCTTGCGTAATACCACTATGCGCAGTACCATCTTGCGTAGTACCACCCTGCGCAGCATCGCCTTGCGTAGTACCACTATGCGTAGTAATACCATTGTTTCTTTCCACTAGACATTCCATACCATTGCTTTCTTCTACTACACTTCCACAATCTCACATATTGAACTTAAATTTCTACGAATGATACCAGCAGACATTATATCGCTACGTTACATTATTACACATGCTATAATTAAGTAATAATTATCATCATCATTTCATTTTTCATCACGAAAACTCTGTTCCCACATTCGATAACTATACAATAATTTTAATTTTTGTCCAGGGCTCTTCCTTGCATGGACCACAGTAATAGCTCACAATTACTTTCACATGCGAGACAACTTCCGAATGTACTATTTCGACATGAGTGCTATGTCCTCGAAGGATTGGCGTATCTCACACGCGATGAGCCATCATACTTATCCCAATACTCTTTGGGACTATGAAGTTTATACGGTCGAACCATTTCTTCAGTGGTTGCCATATAAAAAGAAGTCCATGTTCCGCGCCTTTTTCAGTCAACTCATAAGTCCCGTTGTGTGGGGCCTTCTGTTCTTCTCGGAGATGATTAAGAGGTTCTGTATTTCGTTTCTTATTTACAGTTTTAGTTATAAAGAGTAAATTGCATAATTTACAAAGCATTATTTAAACAGCATAATTTTCTTTTATAAATAAAAAATATTGTATATATAATAAGTGTATGCATGTGACCTTGATCTTCATATGTGTTATCGAGGTCACCTTTCTGATTGATCTTCAAAAGTTTTGCGAATTTAACCAACCGAGTATGATTCTCCACAATCATTATATATCTTGTTTTAACATAATTGAGTTATCTTACTGTTTCATACGCTTGCTAACAATGTTATGTTCATTACAGATATTACTCAGTGTTCTTCGAATACAAAAAATTCGAATTCCGTGATGCCATACCATTTTTCCTTCCAACATTGATGCTGTTCTTCACACCCCACTTTTTGACAGTTATAAAATTCTGGCTTTTGATTATGCTGATGGGAAGTTTTGTGTTCGGTATGATCGGCTTTAATGCGGCGCATCATCATCCGGACATTTTCCATGATGGCGACGTTTGCAGGTTCGTAAAATTAGTATCATTGGTTGAAAAATCAAAGTATTGCAGAAACGATTCATTTTACTTATAAGTACTTTATGGCAACATAAAAGAATATTGAGTATGTTACATTAAATTGCAAAAACAAATTGAAATAATAAAATATGAAATAGATGTGCTATAGTATATTTCAGTATAGTACAGCTTATTGTTAGTTATACTGCTTTGAATATAAAATGAAATATATCACTCCACATATATAATTAAGTATATTACTCAAAGAATACAATTAAATATTTAATTACAAGTTTACAATATTAACAAGGTTAAATTTGACTCTACAATGATATTTAAAATTAAATGAATCTAAAATTCAAATCGTATTGTGTGTAGCTGGAAAGATGTCCTGCAGAAGATATTACCGTATAGCCAAAATAATATTAGTAGATATAATAATAGACATATAGTAATGGAATTAATAATACAAATAATGTAAATTAACGTGTAATATTCTACAGGGAAGATCTCGACTGGGGTTTGATGGAACTGGACGCCGTAAGGGAACGAAAAGTGATCGACGATTCAGATTTCCTGGTCCTGACCACTTTCGGCTTACACGGTCTCCACCATCTTCTACCAACCGTAGACCATTCTTACTTACCTCTGTGTGTACCAGCTTTCGAGCAAACCTGCAAGGAATGGGGAATCAGCACAGAAAAGTTCACGGCATGGGAGCATGTGAAGGGACAGTTCAAACAATTGTTACGTAAAGAAGTGAAAAAGAATATTAGATAAATAGTTGGGTATTTGATGAAGTTTCAGTTACCTGTTTTGGACCGTCTAAGATACGTATAAGACTGAGTGTTATAAAGGGTAATATAATATATTCAATAGATCATGTTACTGTGTAAGATTTAATAAAAATGCAATTTTGATTGAAACTTGTATTTCTTGTTTTCTAGTTTTTGGAAAAATTGGAGTTTGAATACTGATTGTTCGAATACTGTCTGTCTCTGTCTCTGTCTCTGTCTCTGTCTGTCTCTGCCTCTGTCTGTCTCTGTCTCTGTCTGTCTCTGTCTGTTTCTATCTCTGATTGTTAAAAAATTTAAAATTCAAATATTAATTTTTGAACAATTTGAAATTGGGAAGCTTGGGAAACTCCTATAATTGTTTATAAAAGTTGGACCCTTTAATTAGATAATTATACAAAGAAATAACAAACGCCACGATTAGTTCTTAATTTTATTTATTGCTTATTTATTTTAATAAATACATATTACTTTATAAATTACAATTAAGTTTATAGGGTAGGATTATCATTTGGATGACATACATAATAATGCGCGCCGCCGTTCAAATCCACGACTACTATCATTTTTTATCAATTTCTCGTCTTGTTTACGTGTAATCTCGTTCTATTATTTTCGTTCTGTGTTTCTCTTTAGCAACGTGTGTTATCGTTTCATTTTTTTTTTGTTTGTTTTTTTTTGTGTTTCAACATTTTTTCGTATTATCGATTCGTCCGCTTGATACGCGCGTATGCCAGTATGCACATATTTATTCCTATCAGCCACGCGATTCAATAAAATACGTTTGAAAATTTCTCTGCTGGCTCCTGCCCTCTCGACCGCTCGCATCTTTTCTCTCGCTTTCTCTCTTGCTCTCCCACTATCATTCTATCTATCACTCTCTCTTTCCTCGACCGTCAGCGCGAGTGGTGAAGATTATACATTATTATTTTTAAAATAGCATCCCTTTCCCCATAAATTTGTTACACTGACTTGCGACTGACGACAATGAAATTTTCAACGATTCCGCCATTATTCTTTTATTCTCTTTTATTTCGGTAACTGGCAAAAGTGACCAAGCACGGACATCTCGTGTCGTTTGGTTGACGCGACAACGATTTAACTTCAACGCGATGGTGTGTGTCCTCTGTGTTGTGTATGTATAGACATGTGTACGTGTGTGTGTAGATACGATGATGAAAGGGATGAGCTTTGTTCGATGAGATGATCTGTCTCTGCCTCTGTCTGTCTCTGTCTCTGTCTGTCTCTGTCTGTTTCTATCTCTGATTGTTAAAAAATTTAAAATTCAAATATTAATTTTTGAACAATTTGAAATTGGGAAGCTTGGGAAACTCCTATAATTGTTTATAAAAGTTGGACCCTTTAATTAGATAATTATACAAAGAAATAACAAACGCCACGATTAGTTCTTAATTTTATTTATTGCTTATTTATTTTAATAAATACATATTACTTTATAAATTACAATTAAGTTTATAGGGTAGGATTATCATTTGGATGACATACATAATAATGCGCGCCGCCGTTCAAATCCACGACTACTATCATTTTTTATCAATTTCTCGTCTTGTTTACGTGTAATCTCGTTCTATTATTTTCGTTCTGTGTTTCTCTTTAGCAACGTGTGTTATCGTTTCATTTTTTTTTTGTTTGTTTTTTTTTGTGTTTCAACATTTTTTCGTATTATCGATTCGTCCGCTTGATACGCGCGTATGCCAGTATGCACATATTTATTCCTATCAGCCACGCGATTCAATAAAATACGTTTGAAAATTTCTCTGCTGGCTCCTGCCCTCTCGACCGCTCGCATCTTTTCTCTCGCTTTCTCTCTTGCTCTCCCACTATCATTCTATCTATCACTCTCTCTTTCCTCGACCGTCAGCGCGAGTGGTGAAGATTATACATTATTATTTTTAAAATAGCATCCCTTTCCCCATAAATTTGTTACACTGACTTGCGACTGACGACAATGAAATTTTCAACGATTCCGCCATTATTCTTTTATTCTCTTTTATTTCGGTAACTGGCAAAAGTGACCAAGCACGGACATCTCGTGTCGTTTGGTTGACGCGACAACGATTTAACTTCAACGCGATGGTGTGTGTCCTCTGTGTTGTGTATGTATAGACATGTGTACGTGTGTGTGTAGATACGATGATGAAAGGGATGAGCTTTGTTCGATGAGATGACACGATGAAAGTTGTCGCCGGTGTTGCGATCGATTCGTTCGTTTTGTCAAGCTGTAACGATCAAGTTTCTAAACGGGTTACGGTGGTCGTCAGAGATTTTTACAGATCACCATCGGGCTGCAGGTCGAAGCGTGGCGGGAATGCGGAACCATCCAATTGGGGTTTGAACGCAGGTCGATGTGGCTGAAAGAAACGAAACACAATTATTTTAGAGTCAACGTTCATTTTCGGGACTACTTTCTGAAAGCGGGAAGTTGCGCAGTGCAACTTTGGCTCCGCAGGAAACGTGTGGGAACAGGATACTACCCCTCTCTTTATCTGTCCACATCTACGTTCAATTTTTCCTTGGTTCTCCAAGGTTTGTTCACTTGGTTCGCTAAGTGATTTTTGGAAAAATTTGTTTGGAACAAGATAGATCAAAATCTTGGGTAAGATGTTTAGGTATAGGTCTCTCCTATACCCTAGGTCTCTCCTTAGGCTGCCATTACTTATAGTAACTAGACTAGTAACATTCAGAATACGACCTGTGTATATTCTCGCAATCAGCGAGTCTATAAAGAGGTCAAATTTTGTCCGGGTAAACAATAGAAGAAATATGAACCTTAACGAGGGCGGAGCGAGGAAGAAGTTAGGGAAGTTTTAACAAGTGTTTCTATTTAGAACAACCACAAGGAAAATCGCCATAGAATCCCATAGAAAAGGAACGAGTATCCGATAAACAAAAACATTGGGAGACACGTTCTCTGTGTCGTTTCCACATACGTTCGATGGCGTCACTGCAGATGGCGCTGCTGTCGGAAAAGAGGTAATGGAGGGTCGTAGTACCTCTCGAACTTTTCGGCTTCAAAGGAAACCGAACTGGAAGATGTTAAATACTAACTATATCGAAAAACACATATATAAAGAAATTCGTACACGAGTCTAATCAAGCTCTAACGAGAATACAGAGGGATCTATTCGTGAACTATCGTGAACTAACGTGAGTACTGGGATGGGTGATCACAACGTTAATTCATGAGGACCAAGCTCATACTCGTGTAAGGTGTGCCCCCTGAAGTGTTATCAGCTCACACGGGTTCAAAACTGACACTGACGATCAGTGGAATGGGGGTTGTATACAGGGTGTCAAGAAAGAACGAATTATCTGGGCAAATTCGCTGAAGTGAATTGGACCAAGGACCAGTCAGTTCAGCAAAACACCAAAATTCCGAATACTTAACACCCCGTGGAACAATTCTGTTCGTCTGAAATTGTTCTGTGCGATTATTGTGATCTGTTATCTCTCGACAAACACACACGTGCTGAACACGTGCTGAAACTTACATGGACCGGCGCGATGCTGTTTACTCCATTGCGGAGGGCGCCTTACGCTTCTGTTGGGGCTATACAGGGACATACAGATTCAGAATTAGAAATGCTTTATTTCGCACCCTCATCGAAGCGAACGCTTCGATCTTCGAGTGCAACCGCGCCATTTTCTAACCTATTTCGACCGTGAAATCGAGGGTCAAATTCGCAAAAGTTCGACAATGTCGTCGGTAAATATTCGTAAGCGGATACATGTGGATCCTTCAATGAGATCGAAAAAAAAAGAAGAAAAACCGAACACCCGAACCTGCAATAAATCAGGGATTAAGTGGGATGCTTACCGCTGGGCTCAATCCACGCGCGGCACTTCCTCCACGTCCCTTGGTGCGGAACTTGGTGATGGCCTGTTCAGCAAGGTCTGCCCTTTCTTCCGCTTCCTCGAGTTCTTGCTGAGCTTTGCGGAATTTGGCGAGGTTCAGAGCAGCGATCTCTTCAGCCTCCTCGATCTGTCTCTTGTACGTCTTGATCTTCTGCTGGAGCTTGTCGACGAGGTCTTGCATGCGCTCGTGGTTCTTGCGGTCTTCATCCGCCTAAACAATTTTAAAATCATAATCAATAAAAGTACAATATCATATAACAAACGTAGTATAACAATGTAATAACAAAATGACGAAATATAATAACAAGATGATGTAGACTTGTATTTGCAAGTCACGTACCTGGAAGCTGAGCTCCTTGATGCGGCGTTCAGATTTGCGGAGGTTCTTCTGTGCGTCAGCGTGTCTCCTCTGTTCTCCGTCAAGTTCGTTCTCCAATTCACGCACGCGTTGTTCTAGTTTCTGGATAGCCTTCTTGCCACCCTTCAGAGCGTTCGCTTCAGCTTCATCCAGACGCACCTGGAGCTCCTTGATTTGAGTCTCAAGAGCCTTACGCAGTTTCTCCTGGGTCTGAGCGTGGTCTTGTTCGGCTCTGAGTTCGTCAGCCAACCTGGCGGCATCAACCATCGCCTTCTTCGCCTTCTCTTCGGAGTTCTTGGCCTCGTTCAACAGTTCGTCCAGATCAGACTGCAAAGAGTCAATCAATTGTGTAATGCAAGGTTCTGTAATTGGATTGTAATTCTAATAGTTCTAATTGGAACTTAGATGTTGATACTCACGTGGAGAGTCTGGAGTTCAGCCTCGAGTTTCCTCTTGGCAGCGGAGATGGAGGCGTTCTGTGCACCAAGTTCGTTCAGCTGTTCGTGGCAGTCGGCCAACTCCTGTTCAGCCTGGCGACGTCCGCGGTCTGCCTGTTCCAGAAGAGTGCGGCTCTCTTCGAGTTCATTCTGGAGAGCGTTCGCTCTGCGCTCGGAGATTCCAAGAAGTTCTCTCGCCTCATCGCGTGCTCGTTGTTCCTCTTCGAGGGCGGTCTGTACGTCCTTCAGTTGCTGCTGATATCTCTTGATGTTCTTCTGGGCCTCAGCGTTGGCTTTGTTGGCGTGATCCAGAGCGATCTCCAGCTCGTTGATGTCAGCCTCCAACTTCTTCTTCATGCGCAGTGCTTCAGCTTTGCCCTGTAAATTTGAATAAACTCGTAATTTCGTTTCTAGGAAAGATAGTTATAAGGTGATCGTCGGCGTACCTTAGCTTCTGCCTCGAGCGATGCTTGCATGGAGTCGAGAGCGCGTTGGTGGTTCTTTCTGGTGTTCTCGAATTCCTCTTCCTTCTCCTGGATTCTTCGGTCGATCTCTTGTCTGACCTGGCTGAGTTCAAGCTGGCTACGCAGCACCTTGTTCTCTTCTTGTTCTAGAGCAGCTTCGGCTTCCTCAAGGGCGGCTTGGAGTTCGTCCTTCTCAGCCTCCAGGCGCTTCCTGGCCTTCTCGATCTCGTGGATGTTGCGTCCACCTTCGCCGATCTGGTCCAGCAGGTCTTTCACCTCGTCGGCGAGGTTCTTGTTCTCGCGACGTACTGCTTCCAGTTGTTCCTGGCCTTCTTCGTATGCGCCTGGTTCAAACAGAAAGTATAAGAGTTAAAACTGGAACTATAGCTATTATTGTTATAAAGCTTCTATATTAGCTACTATATTTATCAAGAACACAAGAAGTTACCTCTGAGTCTGAACAGTTCCGTGCTGTAGTTGCGGCATTCCTTCTGGCTGGCGTCCAATTCGGCTGCAAGGTCATCCACCTTGAGCTTCCATTCCCCAATAATTTTGTCGAAGGCCTTTTGTTTCTTCTCGGCCGCGTTCGCAATGGCTGTAGCTCGGTCCACTTCGATCTGGAGGTCCTCCACTTCGGTGGATAGCCTCTGTTTCGTTTTCTCGAGCGCAATGACCTTCTGGTTGAGAGATTCGATCGTTTCTTCCGCCTCCGCCAACCGGGCCTGCAGCTTCCTCTTGGCTTCTTCCAGTTCTTCCGCTCTGGCAACTCCTTCCGACTCGTATTTCGTGCGCCATAATTGTGCCTCTGCGTTCGCCTTGCTCAATTGCCTCTGTAAGTCCGCCTTGCCTTCTGCTTCTTCCTCCACTTGTTCCCGAATGTTGTCCAAGTCGTGTTCCAGGTTGCGGAATTTGCCGAGGAGCGTAGCGCGTTCCCTCGATTCCTCGTCGGCCAATCGTTTCGTGTCCTCCAACTGCGTCGTCAGCGAGATCTTGATCTTCGAGAGCTGGCTGACCTGGGATTCGGCTTCCTCCAGCTGGCGTAACAAGTCGCTGTTCTCGATCGACA